CGTACACCACCGTTCTGGAGCCGCTCGAAATTGGGCCAAATAGCGACGATGCTCAGGATGAGTGGTGCGCCCAGACCTGGCGAGCGCCGCGTCCGCCATGGCCGCAACGGAATGTAACTTCGGTCCTCTCCATTCCGCCAGCGCGAAGATGTCGACATATCGCAGAGCACCTCCCGGGAAGCGCATGAGCCTGACCAGCGCGTGGATGTCGAACTGTCGAATGACCTCAGGCAGCGGGGTGAACTGGGCGACGTAGCTAAGCGTCGGTGCCGCGCGCATGACGTAGTCGAGCGCGTTCAACGACAGAGGGGCCGACAACCCCGCCAGCGCGCCAACTCGTAGCTTGTATTTCGCCCGCGGCGCCTCTCAGGACTGCGTCGCCTGAGCTGCAGGTCCTAGGCAGACGCCACGGTGCAATAACAGATCCTCCACTTTGAATGACGCCCAGCTGGGTACCTGCGTCTTCAAGAAATACATCGTGATGGTTCTCGCCTGCTCGGAGAATGAGTCGGCGAGTGGTGCCAGCACGCACTTGGGCGGCGTCAACTTGAGATTCGCCAACTTCTCCGCCGCCGCCAACGCTCGAGCTAGAAACTTAAGGCCGACCATGTTAAACATAACGCCGCCGATGTCATCAGCACAGGCACGGAAAGTCCCACGATCGAAAGCCTCCAAGCCACGTCGAAAGTCTTCCAAGAAAGGCGATGTTGATGCAGCGAACAGACTGCCCGAATGTGCACAGCATTTAAAGGATGCCACAGAAGATGCGAAAGAGTGGAGGCGTGGTCCCACCAGCTCTCCCAATTGCCGTCACCACCGAGCAAAGACCACGAGATGCTGCCAGACGACCTTGAGGGAGCTGCAGGGCATCCAAGGCTGAAAACAGGAACTCTTGACTGAGCGAGGAGAAAGCCTGGCCGAAGTCCAGCGCGATCAGCACGGGGTTACGTAAGTGCACTTCTGGTAGTAGTGAGCCGGCCCAAGCCAACATATCGAGCTCCAAAATGTTTGATGTAAATTTGCGGCTAGCGATGAAGCCGATCTGCGAGGGCGAAGTGGTCATCTGAATGATCGGGGCTATCGCCATGTTGAAGGTGGCCGAGATGATCTTCATGTCCGTGTTTCGCAGGCCTCACGTCCGTGCTGTGTCTGGCGCTCGAGTCACACCTTTGCCGTCGTCGCCCCCCGCTTGGCATCCCTTCGGGAGGAACGCCTGCAACGCGCCCCCTGGCGACGCAGAGAGATGCTGCCCACTCATAAGCCACAGACAGGGCCGCCACAGAACATCACCACCTGCAGGATGTGCGGCCCACGCCAAATAAGGGAGTCCGTCAACCCCCGGCGCCGAGTGCGACGGTGCAAGGAGGCAACGCAGGGCAAGACCGAGCGACTCCCGGGACGGTGGTACGCAAGCGTCATAATTGCCAGGCCGCGCGAACTTCTTGACGTAATGCTGGGTGGCCTAGGGATAGTGCGCTGGCTTTGCCGAGACGGGAGCCCAATATTCGGCAAGGGCTTGAAGCTTCTGCAACGGTTCCGAAAGTAGGCCATCGCCAACTTGGATGGCACGTAGAGTAAGCCTCTTACCGAAAGGCACCCAGAGCCGAGCTTCGCGCGTCTCCGCCGAGATAACTCTCATCGAAGACCTGGCCCTCCGATGCCCATGAGGAGCCGCATGTTGTAGGTATTCCAACTCTTTTTGAGCTGCAACGCGTGGGACTGAGCCAACCCGCGCTTGAAATACAGCCGGTTGTGTTAGTTTAGCCTGGCCGCCATCAATCTCTACACAGCCACGCGCCGTCTCAATATAATTGCACACCCCCATGGCCATCTTCACGTCTGGTCGCCAAACCGCCCTCGCAAGCTGCCTGGCGAACATGCGCTGCGACTCCCGGGAGTTGGGGTCGTCCACCAGCAGCTGGTTAAGGGGGTCGACCGCCGCCGCGTTGACCAAGTCTTTGTACCGTTCCAGCTGACGAGGAGGAGGGAGCGCCTCGAATGTCTCAGCCTCATGATCGAGCAAGCGTTCAAGCCACTCCTGAAACGCCTCAGATTTGTAAACAGCTGCAGGAATAGTCTTGACATACTCCCGACTGTGTTGCTTGAGCTTCACTACTACCCGCGCCGCTGCATGACCCGAAACATTGCGCTCAGAGAGCTCCTCGGATGTAGATATGAGAGTGATAGCGTGCTGAACCTGACGAGCCATCCACCCGTTCTCTGACATCCAAATGCGATCGATCTGGGCAACTGTGTCCGTGCCCTTACAGAAGTGAGTAGGTTCCTCCGATGCGATCTCTACGATTCTGGAAATGTGAAGCCAACCATTTCTGAACATGTGTCCTCGCATTGTTAGTAGCGCGCACATCTCAAGCCATCGCAGGGTTAGAGATCCGCAGCGGGTCATGGGAGGCGAAAGTGAAGTCGCCACAAACCGCCGAGATACAACAACCAGGAGCCAGAAAAGCCCATGCTCTGTCCTCGTCGCTCGAAGCGGTGATGTGTAGGACTTCCGCACTCGAGAGCCCGTGATTGTATGCATTGTAGTGTCGGATTTCGACCTCGCCATTCTGAAAAATCACGCGCAGTACCCGTCCCGGAACAAATGAGCGAGGCGTCGCCGTTGCACCCGCAGACTCCGCCAGAAGGGTGACTGCAGCCGCTCCGCAACGCGAGCGACCAGCGCGCTCCTCTTCGAAGGACCCCGCCACACTTGAAGACGGAGCGATCCGTCATGAAAAACGTGAGCTCGTCCAGCGGCTGCTGCACTTCCTGAATAGCGAAGATTGAATCCGAAATGCCAGTTTTCTATAGGTAAGTGGCCTTCTCCATTGCTGGAGCCCCCCGCCACCTGAAGAGAGCCCCCGCGCTCCAGGTGGCGAAGATCAGCTGCGCCGAAGCTGGAGCTCTGTCGCCCTCAACGGTCTTGGCGAACAGCCTGTCGAACCTGCTAAAGACACCATTCGGGCTCAGCATTAGGCACGGTGATCAGGTCGCTGGCCTTGATCGCCTCGCGGGGCCAGCCGCGAGAGGCAAGTGCAGCATCGTTCCAGAAACACTTAGTTGGCTCTTGTCCAGGCTGTGGTTCCAACGCAAGAACGGCCTCCAGTTGTCTGCGACCCATCCATTCTGCCGATCGAAGAATACCTTAGCCTTTGGATATCGCTCACGAAGGAGAGCCGTGATCTGTTTGCCAGAGATCTCGTGCTTGATCTGGAGCGGGTTCTTGTCCGCGCCAATGTGCAATTGGGTAGATCCTCCGATGCCGCTGGAACAGGGAATCGCATCCACTGGCCTTTCCCAGGCAACCGCAGAGCACCAAGCGCTTGGACGACCCGACGTCCTGCAATAGTCGATCCTGCAATAATCGACTCGAGGTCCCGAAAACTGCAGAGGAAGGAGTCGATCTTGCTCGTCGCCTTGAACTTCCCATCCGTCAATCTTCGCTTTGTCCAACCAGGCCTTGACCGAGGAGGCCACGTCTGAGCGCGTGACCATCGTGGATGCAACAATTTTGAGGATGGTGCCGTCGACTTCTCGCTGAAAGCCGATGCTTGGAGGCTTAGGTGGGGGCGGCAAGCGTTGGGCAAGAGCAAGCTCCCTACGTAATTCATCCATGGGTGAACGCATACTGGCGATCTCGTCAGCGATCTTGTCGGTGCGGGAGTCGAGGGCAGAGACACGCGAGCTGAGGCCGTCCAACTGTGCTTGAAACCGTCGCTCCATTGCATCGAATTCTGGCCGAAGAGTAGCTTCAACTCTCTGCTGGCAAGTAACAGGAACGCTTTTGACGGCTTCTTCCACCGCACGTATCGCTGCCATGACGGGATCGACTGCTTGAGCGGCTGCTGTCTTCGCCGTCGAGGCGACCATACCGGTGATCCCTTCTTTGAAAGAGCGAATGGTCTGGCGTATGTGGTCATCGATGAAACCCTTAATGTGGTCGTCCCAGCTGGCCGGGTCCATGCCTGGATCGTCTTCTTCGTCAGAGTGCTGCCCACTGGATCGGGAACGATCGTCATCACGCACATGAGGACCTTCGACATCACCAGCAGAATCCCTAGCAGCAGGAGCACAGGAATCATCTGCAGCGAACTGTTTCTCCTTCTCCCCTCCGCCATTGGCCGATGTGGCTGGCATGAATTGAATACGCTGCTGCGGGCGACTGAATTTGATGGGTGCCAGCTCACTCGTGGTTGTGGCTGGAAGGTCGATTGGACTGGCCGCGGACAACCGGTATTCATTCCCTCCTTGCGCAAAACGGACATCTTGAGCCAACATGGTTACGGAAGGAAGAGGAGGAGGTGGAGGGAGAGGAGGAGGAGGAGGAGGCGCGAGGAATCTGAGGCGCGCAGGCTTCTGAGAGGAGGCGCGGGGCGCGCGGGCATCTTAGAAGCAACGCCGCCTTCTGAGAAGACTTTCGCCTTCTCCTTCCCCCACCTCGCTCGCCGCGGATGCGAGGCGCCGTGTTCGCGGGGGGGCCTGGGAGGCCAGATGCAGTCGAACCCAGGACGGAAAACCACCCCCCCAGAACACGAGGCCCTCCGCCGGCCAGAACGCACAGAGCATCCAAGGGTACCCTCCCCAGGATGCACGAGAGCATCCTACAGGCACGAAGAACAGTAGGGTGCCCCGACCTTAGCGGAATTGCGAGGAGCAGGGATGGGATGAAGACGCCAGAGAGGAGGAGCAGACGGTGGGAAAGCGGTCGCTTTTCTGGCCACCTTCTGCGGTGGTCTGCTATAACTTCGGGGAGACGTAAGACTCGGATACGGGGGACTCGAGTTGGCCTGACGGGGCCATCATTAAAATGACGAGACCCACTCTGAAATTTGACGCGAGCTCCTGCTGCAGACATCCCACGAAAACGGGGCCGTCAAAATCCAGGACGCGCTCGTCAAAAAACGTCGCTGAACCCGAGTTCCAGCTCACTCGAGTGCTACGCTTCCCCGATATAACTGCCGAGGCTCTCGCCGTCGCGAGCGTGGCGGGGGCTCCCC